GCGAGTTACCAGAATAGCTTAGGAACGAATATAGCGTCAATTCTCAAGACTTATCACTTATATCACTCGGTACTTCATTCAGAGACATTAATAATTAATCTATTTTGAACTAAAATATTAACACAAAATGGTCATTCGATTTTGGTTAGTGTGATGGTTTTTAATCCTTCATGTTAACTGAATTATTATCAATCAAGTTTCCAATATGATCACTAAGCTACGTAGTTCAACTTCCTAGTTCACTTTGTGTAATATTAAATGTCACAGGTCGAAATCATGAGTCAATAAAAGCTAGACCACCATGGAAAACCTGAAAGCACTAGACAGCCGTTTCGTCCAGGTTTTCCATAGTGGTATAGCTTTAATTGACTCATGATTTCAACCTGTGAAATTTCTAAAAAATCTCCACGAAACCCATTCTGATAATATGAAAATGATTAAAAGTAACCTATTTCCTTCAGATTCTGTTTGTTTTTCTGAAACTTAGAAGATGATTATGTTGAATACACGAGTTTTAACTCCTTCTTAGAAATAAATTAATTGACCACTTCTTTAGAGGTTAATATTCATTCGAAAAAAACATGACATTGCTAACAAACTACTACCAATCAATCTGATTGTGTTCTTGACCTTCAGTCGCTTATATATCTTATTATTAGAAGTCGGTCTGATAATTCATTTATTGATTAATTAATCATCTTGTATTGATTGTGTAAATTTTTCAATTGACGTTTAGGACTGAGTTGATCAGTCTCCTATTAGCACATATATATTCTGTGTGGATTATCTCTATATTGCTTTAAGTCATAGATATTATAAGGAGAGATGGATAGTGGCTAGCAGTAGAATCGATGACACATGTTTCGTTCTATTTAGGATTCGTTATCTGGATGTACCTTCATTCCAGAACTGATTTTCACTTTGGGACTCGAATCTAGTATCATTCGTTTCAAACGCCAACGCGTTATCCATATCTAACTAATGAATCTCAGATGAGACGAAACGCACATCCTGAGTTGCACTGCTAGTTACCATCACTTTCTGTTTATAATGATTTAAAGATTGTTGTAAACTGCACTCAATAAATCCTATTCATTGTTGGCATGCATACCACTATATATTACTCATTCAGCTAACTGATTATTTCATATAAGTACAAGTACATAAATTTTAAAACTGAAATCATCCAAAAGAGAACTTTCTTTGCTGAAAGGTTTTTCGATAGTCATAATTAATTTAATATCAAAAGGGGTTTTGTTGATATTATAGTAATTTTAATAGTTGAGATCATGAACCCATTGATGTTAGACCGCTATTGAAAACTTGGAAGCACTGGACGGCCGTTTGGTCTTATTGTGGGACTTCTCAGCAGTGCACATCCACGATCCCGCCTTGCAAGATTCGAACCCAGGAAACATTGGTCTCGCGCGCTCAGGTAGCCGGTGACCAACAATAGGTTCATACACCATTTGTTTCTTTCAGGATCCTGGAGCCCACGTACACTATTGGTTTGTCATCAGGGTTATCCACCTCCCTTAGGTGGATCCTCCGTATCCATCTTATTGTTAAATTAAACTTGATTAAAGACTATTTATCAATTACAGTAAGTATAATGGTGAGTTATTAATTTTACAGAAATTGTACGAAATAGTGAATATACTGAACTATGTTAACCTTCGATTGTATCATTGAACTTGAAAACTACAGATCATCTTCAAGATATAGAGATTACCTGAGCTAAACGATTATAACTACTAATTATCATACTACTCAAAAGATTAATTAAAAAAGCTTTAGAGCTTGTAATTTAGAAAGGTTGTTTTCAGAGATAAGAACTAATATCTAAAATTCACTTGGTAGAACTGCAGTTGATCTATCTCTTATTGGCATATGTGAATACTGTGCATATTGCCTCGATATTGCCTTAAATCACAAGATGAATAGTGGCTATCAGTGGGATCCACGACACGCATTTCGTCCTATTTGAGACTCGTCAGATGGATGTTCCCGCATCTCAGAATTGATGTTCGCTCCGGAACTCGAACCCAGAACCGTTCGCTTAAAACGCCATTGCGTTATGCACTTAGCTACTGAGTCCTGATATCCACTTGGTTGTGCAGTGGGGTGAAGTTTAAATTCACTTGGTGTCATTTTACTTGAATCTCCTCATTGATGTTTAGGTCTGAAATTAATCAGTCTGTTGCTGACATATGTGCCCTCTTCAACGTCAGTCAATATAATTCAGAATAAAACAAAGTATAAACTTCATTAATGGCTGCTGTCTATAACTAATAGGAAAGTATATCATGTTTTTCAACGTCCTTATGAAAAGGAAATTTACTTCACAAGGTGATAGAGGCATGTGTTTGTGATGTAAATCTATCAATGATTGTATAATGTTTACTGGACATTTTATCATATGAAGTGAATTACATCATCATCTAAAATTTTATCACTATTACCAGAACATTGATGTAAGATGAGTAAGTGACTGTGGGATACTGGAATGAGGGGGAGACTGTAATTTATGAACGAACCAATCAGATTTAAGATAACCGCTCTCGGATTTTGGCGCGAAATTCACTGATCCATTTGGTTAAATACAGTTTTGGCATTATAGCTGATGTCAGTTCGTGATGAAAACCCTTAATCTAATTCCTAACCTTAATCATCACTGTAAATCATAATTCTAATTCCTCACACACTGGTTTATAACCTTCATTTGGTTCTGATTATTGGATGGACACTATCAAGGTCATTTATGTATTTCTTAAAGGTCGTCCATAAATTACGGTCTCACCACTATATGCTTTTTAATGTAATATACAGTGAACAAGCCCATTACACAATATTAGCTTAACTATTAAAATTCGACCAGACATCTTTAGGTCTTGAATTGGTAAAAGAAGAAATCAGTCGAAGTATATGTAGATTATGATCATTATTATTATTAGCTTTATTCAATCTCATATTTTGGGTATTTCAACAAGCTTCCTATTTCTTATTTCTTGATCAATCCTGATGATGATCGCCAATTAGAAGTTAGTAGTTCAAGAATTGACATCTGAATAATAAGATACATTCTTCTGGATGTATATTGTGAGCAACGTGGATCATACCGGATCACAAAACAATCAGATCGATCGTATTTGTATCACTAAAACATTCACAAGGTCAATGAAAGAAGTGTGAACCAGAAGAAGAGCTGTCATAACTTCAAATCACCATCTGGTAGTTACCAAGATGAAATTGAGGTTAAAGAAACACTAGATAACTGAAGAAGCAGCATTAAAAAGGTTTAATACAATCTTCCTTTAAAATGTTGATAAACGTGATGAATTCAAGTTATGTCTCAGCATCTAAATAATAAGGTATATTCTTATCAATGTATATATATTGCCAACAACCACAATATCTCTAACGGTGCTCTTTTTTAACTTGTACAATAAAAGATCATGTAATCAATGAACATAATGATCTGTTGAAATAAACAAGGGAAGAGATCATTCACTGAAATATCTAGATAGTAGGAATAAATAGCCTAGATATTCAAGTAAACCTTCAATAATAAATGATTGTGTAAGGAAGAACATCAAGATCTAGTTAACACGCGTATACAGCCTCTGGCAGAGAAGTCCTAGTCACTGCCTTCTCGTGGCAGGGGTGTTGTTTACGAAATTGAGAGGACGAAAAGCGAATGTACGGCGCTTTAACCGGATCCCAAACCAATGGTACACATGGGCTCCAGTATCCTGAAAGAACAAATGGCGTATGAACCAATCGTTGGTCACCGGCAACCATGGGAATGCACCTCGTCACGATGCTCCACTGCCTTGTGGATCAGACCTTTAGGTCAAAGGCTCGGGTTGTGGCCCCCTACGAAAACCACCTGTTTCGGTCTGGGCACCCAGGCAGTATCACAGCCCACACACACAAATATGGTGTGGCGCATATATGTTTGTTGCCCTTTTTGTGTTAAAATAAATAAATAAACACAAAATATATACAAATCATTGTATGATTAAAAATCAACTACACCTTATTACAATAACTTAAACAATAGTGAAATAATTGATAGCAGTAGTTATTTAAGGTTAACTCAATAAAGGAATATATTTGCTATACACATATACCTATTACAGAACTATAGAAGATATATATGTATATATATGAGAATAGCTTACTTAAATATTTAAACGTGTCCTTAGGATGAGATCTAAATGAATTTGTGTGTATATCTATATCTATGTAGGGGTGTAAGTGTCATTATCCTGTGTGCTACTGCAATTTTAAATTTATGGTAATGATTATGATCATCAATATTGGATCCGTTTTGATTCGTTATTCTCTCTATTAATACTACTTTATAAGTAAAAATTAACACTAAACAAGCAAAACAAAAACAAAAAAATTGATGATAGAAAAACGTAATCATCATAAGCACAATTATATAATGACTTACTCAAATGGTTGTATCTAACTGGCGTGTCTGTATTCTTATAGGTATATATAAAAATATATATATGCATATGGCATATAATGCTTCTGTGCATGAGTACTTGAAAGGATACGATTTATATTTATTGACTTATATTACTTATTTCAATTACTATATTGTCCATTACAAATACTACTATTCTTATTCTTATTATTATAAATGACGGACTAACACTATAGAGAAATCCGGCATAGTAATCATTTTCCATTTTACCTAACGTAATCTCTCTATTTCTCTCTCGATATATATACATATATGCATATACATATGATTGATTTTGTGTAATCCATTCATTCATTGGAAATCCTTATTTAATGCTTCAAATTAATAAATACTACTCACAAGTATTTAAGTATCCATGTATAATGTCATAATCATCTAGTAAAAGAATTGAATGGATAATTCAAGAAATCTTTTATGTGAATTATTCTATAAACATTTAAATGATCCAAATAAACATTCATTATGTAATAAATTATTATTGATGAATTAATTACAACAGGAAAATTATTAACACAATTACATACAGAATATAATCAAATACAACAAGTTACAAGTAAGATTATTTGTGAATGATTTTAAATGTATTATTTGAAATAGAATACACCTGGGACTACTTCCGCATGGAGGAGCATAAACTGCCTACTAGTACTGTTTATTCAATTCTATCCTGGGCAATCCTTCCTATTTCTTCCCAGTTGCTATTCATGTTTATCATGCCTGTCATCAAACGTCGTGAAAGAATATAAACCGCCTACCAGTACTCTTCATCTAACTGTGTCCTAGGAAATCTTTTCTAGTTACTATTCATCCTTATCATGTCTACTTACGATTCTTTATATAATGTGTTCTTCAGCTTTCCTCTTTTCTATTCCCCTTCAGAGTTCCATGTTAGAGCTTGCTTCGTGATGTAGATTATCATAATCCCACGGTGTAGATAAGTAAGAAATATCAACTGATGGTTAAAAGTTGTTCTATCACTCAAATTAGTTTTATAATATCACACTGTTATTTAATGATACAATTATAGTCACTTATCTAGTATCATCTATTTCTATATAAGTTGATTTTAGGAATGTATAAAAGTTCTGGAATACAATTGCACTTGATAGACCAGGAATATACAAACAGTAATAACTGTCAAATTGTACGACTAGTTTATGACTGAGATCATGAATCGATTAATGTTAGACCGCTGGATCTCATACACGAGACTGAACACCTTGGGTTTGAGTCCCACGAGTAGGATCTTGGATGCACACTGTTGAAGACTATCGCAATAAGACGAAATGACTGTCCACTACATTCACGTTTTCAATTATGGTCTACCATCAAACAATTGATGATCTCAATCAAAAATATTTAATCATCTCCTCAACCCTATACTGATGATATACAGTTAGTATCTATCCAATCATTTTCTCTTTTTTCTTTTTCTCTCTTTTGTTGTTGTTGTCTAGTGTTCAATTATTTGTATCAATCACTATTATCAATCAATTTTATGGATTTCAATGATCATCAAATGAATTCAGATCTATTAAATAAATTTTTCAATGATTTACAAATGATTCAATCATCATTTCATTGTTACAATGATAAATCATCTATTCAATTATTATTATTATATTATATTCATATCATTCAATTATATCAAGATCATATAAATAATAATAATATGCATAAACATAATGATGATCATTATAATTTAGAACAAGCTGAAGATTTACGTGTTATTGTGAACAAAAATCATGATATATCATCAATTGATTTATTAGGATTATCATTATCTTTGCCATCGTCATCGTCGTCATCATCATCATCATCATCGTCGACGTCATCGTCGTCGTCGTTGTCATCGTCGTCTTCACCATTATCATCATTGCCAATAATATCATCTTCAAAACTGGATAATGATGGTGATGATAATCATGATGATAATAATTCAATTCATTTCACATCAATACCATCATTCATATCATCTGATAATTATACAATGAATTATTCTATTCAACAACAACAACAACAACCGCAACAACAACAACAACAACCACAGCAACAATTAAGAAATACTCCCTTCACTTCAATTCCTATTCCTATAATGAATGAATTATCATCATATATGACAAATTCACAACATACATTCATAAATAATAATAACAATAATAATTATAATATACATCTATTATGTAATAATCAAGATGTTCATTATTCAATGAATAATCAATTGAATCATAATAATGAATTCAATGAAAATCGAATTGAGAAATTGAATTGTTCAAATATTCAACAATTAAAAAGTTATACAAAAAAATCTTTGATTAATATGATGCGAAATAAAATTGGATCAAATAAATGTATTCGATCATCTAGACGATCATCTACAGGTAGAACTGAATTGTTGATAAGTCTAATTATATATAATAATAATAATAATAATAATAATAATAAGAATAACCTGTAATCAGTCGACATCCTACTGTGAGTCTCCTCAGTAGTGCACATCCACGATTTTACCTAACGAAATTGGAATCCAGGATCTATTGATATCTTCTGGAGTTTTATTGAGAAGACATGATCAGTGGAGTTCAACCAAGTCTGTTATGAGATAGTAATGCACTAAAGACAATGATGGACGATGGTAAAATATCGTGGATTGATTGAAGTTAGACATTAACACCATTGAATATCGGCTGAGTAATCTCGACGTTAAGTGTTCACACACGAGACTGAAGGTTTTGAGTTTGGGTTAAGCGAGGCGAGATCGTGAAATGTGCATTGCTGATGAGTTCTACAATAAGACGAAACGAACATCCAGTGCTTCCAGCTTTCTCATGGTGATCTAATTCCAATTGAATCATGATCTCAACTATTAAAATTACTATAATATCCACAAAAACCCCTTCTGATAATAATTTGATTATTTATTAAACTCTTTTTCCAAATAACGGTTAACTCTAAGTTGTTGTCACATATCTTATCATAATCAGAGTTATCGTTTCTACTCTAAGAACTGTTAACAGTGACTATCAGATTTCCTTTAACTGAATATAAGTTGAATACTTTAACGAAGTTAAAATGGATGATCGAATTTGTATTTTGGGTTATATGAACTTACAGGATTATTGATAATCGTAGGGGGGTTTTTGTGGATATTATAGTAATTTTAATAGTTGAGATCATGAGTCAATTGAAACTAGACCAGTATGGAAAAATTGGCCGTTTCGTCCTACTGTGAGACTCCTCAACAGTGTACATTCGTGATCCCACCTTGTGAGATTCCAACCCAGGACTTATCAATCTCGCACTCAAACGCTTAACATCTAGACCACTTTTATGGCTAGCAACCAACGGTTTTAATGTCTAACTTCAACCAATCCACAAATTTGAGCCACCATTCACCATTGTCATCAATGAGTTACTATCTCATAAAAGACTCGGTTGAACTCGACCAGTCACAACTGCTCACTAGAACTCCATGAAATACCTCTTGAAGCCAATCATTAGTGAGCATATGATGATTATAATCAGAGAGGGGTTTTCGTGGATATTATAGTAATTTTAATCGTTAAGATCATGAGTCAATTAAGGTAGACCACCATAGAAAACCTGGAAATACTGGACGGCTGTTTCATTCTAGTATTTTTAATGTATAAATACTTAGATTTAATTTAGTCTACTCTATCTTCAAAAGACTTGGCGTAATAAAGTATAAAATGATAAATAAAAAGACTAACAACATGTTTCAACCTGTTTAACAGATACAACTTAATTTTCATAATAACTAACTAGTTTGTTTATAATGATTTTAAATAACTGGCTTCATTACATCATCAAAGTTTAGATGAAATACTGATTTCGTAACTCTTAGAATTTCAGCCAGTCAAACAGCTACACATAGGACCAGGCACATATATGCATCGGTCCAAGTTGCTGCACCTCACCAATTAGCACAACAAGATGAACACCGAATTCATAAAAGTAGTTAATTTAGTGGTGGTAATATATAAAATAAAGATTGCAATAAGGATATAGTACAGGAAGAAAGAATTAGTTCATAGCAAGAAAGATATGAAGCGATTTTAATCTCTTAGTTTAAGGGAATACAGAGAGTGTATACACCGACGCTATTGTGATCGATTCTTAACCATGTCACTGAGTCTCCAACCATTGGTCACGATAGTCACGCGGACCCCAACCAAGTAGTCTGCATCTACCAACATGGCTCAGACTAGAAGTTAGTGACTTCAAGCACTGATGCCACGTTTTATTTTGTCTGCCCCTAACTTTCTTCCAACCATCACGAACACCAGTTAGCATTGCACGTCGTGGTAATCAGTGTTCGGGCATACGTAACACTGGCCCAACCATCTTAGAATTTGTACATGATTTATTTGAATGACTGAGAAGGGTTAGAAATCGTATAATGTTGATCTGTAATATACTTACCTCCGTGAAGTTAAATAATGATCTTGTGTTTATTGAATGATTAATTGCTATGGGATAATGAGATTCACATTTTTTTTACCTCAATTGTTCAATAATGAGAATTCACTTAATACCGAGTTTTATTTTTCGGTACCCACTGAGATCCATTGGTTCAGGTGAGTTGATACATCTACTAAGTTAACCTCGTTAACATTGTGGTATGAAACTTATATTGTAAGATGATATTTTGTACTTCAGGATTCATACTAATTATAAATCATTTGTAAAAGAGTTCTACTGATGTTTAGGACTGCTTTATTCAATATGATTAATACTATCAAGTGATAGGGAATCCAATCCAGATCTATAATTCATCTATCACTAACTGTGAATAAATAATTATGGACATAAATTTGTATGATACTCAATAACACGGATTTAATTATTAGAGGAAAAATTGGTTTATTTGTGATATTTAGATGGAAGTTTTTTTTACCAGTCAAGTACTATGATGGCCACATTGCAACTTATTCGTAGGATTCGATCTGCACTTAGAACGACCTGATATACATGACACTGATCCTCAACCAGTGATCAATCAATTGTGAATACATGTAAGTCCTACAGAAGGTCAGTCACTGCCCGGATAGCTGAGTGGTAACGTCTCTGACTGTGAAGCTGGGTGACACAGGATTGAATATGTCAGAGAACATCAGTTCCCTCAAGTACACCTCGCTGACGAGCACCCAGTAGCACTTAACCTAGATTCAGGGTTTCCTGTCAACTACCCCCAACCCCCATATTATCTAAAGATGGTGCACGTAATGTCGAGTCACCTAGACCTGTGGCCACATTGCAGCTTGGTCGGTAGGATTCGATCTGCACTAAGAAGGACCCGATATACATGACATTGGTCATCAACTAGTGATCAATCAATTATAATTTTATATCACCTTTCGGTCTCATAAGCAATCACATTTATTCTTGTTGTAATGAATTAACTTGACTGTTTGAAAATAGTAAAAACAGAATAATTAAAAGTTAGAAAACACTTGATAAAACATTCGGAAAAAGTTTTCTATCGGTTAAATAGTCTCCATTTGATCAGTATTTTTATTAATATTTCTGTTTTTGTACCAGAAGGGGTTTTTGTAGATATTATAGCAATTTTAATAGTTGAGATCATGATTAAATTGAAGCTAGACAACTATGGAGAACCTGGAAACACTGAATGGCCGTTTCTTCCTATTGTGGGACTCCTCGGTAGTGCGCATCCACGACCCCACCTTGCGAGATTCGAACCCAGAACCTATTGGTCTTGCGCGCGAACGCTTAACCCCTAGACCATTGGGCTGGCATCCATTGTCAAGATTAAGTTTTCAACACCGTGAAAAGTATTTGTAGATTCATTTGGAGATCAGCGGTGAAGTTGACTGTTTTGATTTCCTGGTTCACCTCTCTTTAAATACGTCATTATCAGCAGTTTTCTTTTGTACTGATATTTTGTTTTCCTTATGTTTGATTCTGAAGTTTGTTAATTTGACAAGTATACACTTTATTGTTTCAAACAAACTTATCTTTATATTTGCATATTAAACAGAAGGATAATACTTCAACTGCTTAATGTGAGGAAACCAAATTAATAACACTCTTATTATAGTAAAGATGGGAGTAGTAACAGAATGTTTGGAACATTAGAGATTGATTGTAGTGAATCAAGTCGACATCAAATAAAGGTATTAAAGAGAAAGGAATAAAAATAATTCAAAAAATGAACGTAAATTCAATTGGATGCGCACTGCTGAAGTGTCCCACAGTAGGACAAAACGGCCTTCCAGTGCGTCAGGTTTTCGATGGTGATCTAACATCAATCAGTTCATGATCTCAATCAAAAATTCACTTGGTGTAGTTTGCTTGTATCTTCCCATTATTATTTAAGATTGCAATTGATCAGTTTCTTATTGGCATATGTGCATCCTGTGCGGATTACCTCAGTATGCCTTAAGTCATAAGCTTTTTAAGCAAAGATGGATGGTGGTTAGCAGTGGAATCCAGGACGCACGCTTCCTCCTATTCAGGACTCGTCAGCTGGATGTAAGATGTAAATAATAATTATATATGAATCAAGGAACTAAGGATTGACCAGAACTCTCAATTCGTATAGCTATATCATGAAAGACCATGGGCTAGATAAATATCCTTTTACAGTATTCGTACCGTATAATAAAATGTTTAACATATCACACACACTATCATAAATGAGACTTCAATGGTTTTTAGAACGATTTTCATCTGTCTTGCGCTGACTCACATACAGCATCTGAATTTGTTAGGGTAGGCTGCAGAGAAGTTATTTCAAGAATTTACCAAATTACATGAATGCTCCAGAAACGTATATTATTCTTTAATCATTTTAGGGCTACAAATAACAGAACTTTACATTTTAAGAAATGTATATTAGACATAAAATTAAGTCTCTATGCACTGGTGGTGAGATTATAATTTATGAACGAACCAATCAGGTATAAGATAGCAGATACCGAATTTTGGCGCGCGATTCGCCCATCCTTTTGGTTAAATAGAGTTTTGGCATTATAGCTAATGTCATATCGTGATGTAAGCTCTAAATTTAATTCCTAACCTTAAAGATCAACTGTAAATCACAATTTAGATTCCTCAAACCGGTTTATAACCCTCATTTGGTCCTAGTCGTTAGGTGGACACTCTCTAGGTCATTTAAACACCGCTCAAAGGTCATTGATAAGTTAGAGTCTCACCGCAGTGGTTAATGGTAATCCTAAGGTATCAATTTTAGGGAATTTCGATAAATTCTAATGAAATCCACATTGAAATTTACATATTCCAGTACATTTAAGGTGTCCGTCTTTCAGTTAGAAAAACGTTACTGATGTCTGATATTCATATGAATAAAATGAGAACTATACCCGACCATGGAAGAGAGTGTTATATTCAATTTGTAAAGAACTTCAGGAAAATAAGAGGAAAGCATGTTATGAGTGAGCTTTATTTAGACATATTGCTTTAATAGTTGAATTCGTGGATCGATCCAAACTAAACCACCGCTGAAAACCTAAAATCATTGGAAGGCTGTTTTGTCCTAATATGAGACTGTTCAGCAGTGCGCATCCACAATCCTGCATGTGGGATTCGAACCCAGGACTTCTCGATCTCGCGCGTGAACATTTAACCTCTAGACCACTGAGCTGGTATCCAACGGTGATAATGTCTAACTTCAACCAATCCACGTACTTGCTGAGACCTTACCGCCGGAGACGGATATCCGTGAGATGAGGTGAGGTGTGCATTTTTAGAGTCGAAATTTTCTAACCCCACCTCTCCTTGTGGGAAGGCATCGCTGTCATTCTGGTTGTCTGAAGGAAACACTTTACTGCTGTCACACCTCCGTACAGTCAGCAGTACGACTTCTTTGGAAATTTTGTTTGCTGCTTTTATTCTTACCATTGTTCCCCGATCTGTCTGGTATGGTAGGACTTTGAGGAACAATTGTCCCAGCCAGTATAGCCCGATTGGTTCATCACAATAGGCAAGCCCGACCACTAAGTCAAGATAGTAACAACGATTGGGAGTAGTGTAACAATATTTTATTGTTATTAACCAACCATCAATAAATAGAAAGTCTGAAACTATGATTAAACTGTGATTTTAGGTTAACACGGATAATTTCAATGTAAGTATATGCCTCCTCGTTTCCAAAAAGAAGCGAAAATAATGTAAACCATTATCTGGCAATCATAATTTCTAAATGGGCAAAATTTACTTAAAGTGTATAACCGTCAGTTATCAGTTAACTCTCCATGATCAAAAATATCATTGAAAGTCAGAGAAACATTCAATCATTGTAGATTCTAGAAAGTTAGAAATATCGTTACCTTCCACACAGCCAGTATAAACATGTGTACAGTATATGAATATATTTCTTCTTTTTGCCATCTTCAGATTATAAATCCCCGTTGGTACCAGATCAATATCAAACAAATGTGAGCCAAGATAATAGTAACAATTCAGATATGCTTATGTCTCCAGATTCTCCTCCTACGAGTTCCTCATTATTGTCGTCATGTTTCTCCTTTTCACCATCTTTATCATCATCTTCAGCTTCATCATCATCGTCTACAACTTCATCTCCTCAAAGCTATTTTCCAATACATGATAAATTACTCAATCTAAAATCTCGTTCCTTCTCTTTGAAACGATCTCCTTTTAAATTATCACAATTTTTATATTATCTACTTAATAAATCTGAATATAATCCACATTTGATTTGTTGGGTAGATAAATCACAAAATATGTTAAATTAGTGAATAGTGCAGCAGTTGCACATTTATGGGGTTTACATAAGCATAAACCAAATATGAATTATGAAACAATGGGTAGAGCTCTTAGGTAAGTACTATGGTACACTTTCAATGCAGTAATATATTTCATTATATTCAACTACATTTTGTTTGTTTGTTAAGAGATTTAATGAAAAACTGATCGATGTTAGACCACTATTGAAAACCTGAAAGTACTGGATGGTCGTTTTCGTCTTAGTATGGAACTCGTTAACAATGTGCATCTACAACCTCACACGTGGGATTCGAACCCAGGACCTTATGTCTTGCGCACAAACGCTTGAGTTTTAGACCAATGAGCTGATATCTAACAGTGTTAATGTTTAACTTCAACGAGTTCATGAAAATGCGCGACCATCTTCCATCGTCAGGGGTAAATACGTATCTCTACTTGACACGGATTAGTTCCACTAGTCACAGCTTCTACTGGAAATCTGAGAATTCCCTCACGAAGCTAGTCACTAGTGATCACAAGGTAATTATCAGTATCGCGTTGTAGAGATTGTTAAGTTTCTGATTAAAATCATAAATCGGCCGATGTTCAAGTGCGAGACTGTGACTAGTGCAGCTAATCCGTATCAATTAGAGACAGGTATTTATCTCTGACAATGGAAGATGGTTGCGCATTTTCATGAACTGATTGAAGTTAGACATTTGCACCGTTCTCGTGCAAGACCAAATGTACTGGGTTCGAATCCCGTGTGTGAGATCGTGGATTTGCACTGCTAAGGAGTCCTATACTAGTATGAGACGACCATCTAGTGATTCCAGGTTTTGAATGATAGTCTAGCTTAGATCGATTTATGAATTCAACTATTGAAATTACTAAAATATCCACAACCTCTTACTGATAATGAAAAATCACCCGGTTGACAGTTAGAATTCTGATACCATATAAATGTATACAATCCAAATGGTTTACTTCGAACTGAGAAAATTCGTTCACCTAAACACAATCATATAAACGAACTAGATTGTCAGTTATTTAAGAGCTTATGAAAAAGAAATGAAGTTCCTCAAAAGCCAACAGGAATCTAAAGAACTTAAAAAGGTTTCATATTATCAAGGTAGACAGTTATCAAAAGAATATACATATAATGGTATTCAATTTCTAGACACAAAATTATCTTCAGAGATGTTTATCACCTTCTTGTAAGTACAGTACAGAATGATTATTTCATTATATTTATACATAAATAACATGACCAGATGAATTATCTATCTCAGGTTACGTAAAAGTTAATCCGAATTGATTGATCACTGGGTGGTGATCAGTGTCATGTGTATCAATTCCTTCTTAGTGCAGATCGAATGCTGTTGACCAAGTCTCTGACTGTGAAGCTAGGTGACACGGAATCGAATCCGTCAGGGAGCACCAGTTCCCTCAAGAATAGAGGTACACCTTGCTGACGAGTGCCAAGTAGCACGAAACCCGGGTTCAGGGTTTCCTGTTGACTACCTCCAACCACCATATAAGGTTAATCCTTCACTATCTAATATCATTTATAAAAACATGTTATTATCCCGAAACTTTGAGTTACTTTTTCGTATTCTATGATACTCTCCAAAATAAAATTTACAATGTGTTAACTCCCTTTTTTAATCTACCAATAAACTTTAACGATACTTTTGCATAGAATACCATACGAGTTTCTTTAAAATGATCAATTCATAAACTTAATCGATTTCTATTCATTCGTAACAAGTTTTACACCAGAACTGATATCTGAGAATCTTAACTTGGAGAAAATCTGATCTTTGTCAAGTTTCATTAAAGTCTGAAGCTTAAGTTCATGGCTTATAATGAACTAATTAAAGTATTATATGCAAAGATGGATAGTGGGTAGCAGTGGAATCTAGGACTAAGCACTCGTCAGCTGACGAGTCCCAAATAGGACGAAAGGTGCGTCCTGGATTCCAATTCACTAGCCACTATCCATCTTTGCTTATAATGCTTGTGAATTAAGGGTATATCGAGGCAATCCTCACAGGTTGAACATATGTCAATAAGAGACTGATCAGTTATAGTCCTTAACACCGATGGGAAAATTCAAACGAACAATACCAAGTGAATTTAATTAATTAATGTGCTATATTCGGAATAATAAATAACTATCAATTGATTACATTTTATTTATTTATTTAAACACACAAACATTGGTACAAGGAGGCACCAAATACATATGCGCCAAAAAAGTCACTTGATTTGTGTGTGACTATGATACTGTTCTAGTGCCCAGACTGAACCAGGTGGTTTTCTTAGGGAGGCACACCCGGAGCTTTTGACTTAAAGGTCTAATCCACAAGACAATGGAGCAACGTCAGGAGATGCAGTCCCATGGTAGCCGGTAACCAACGATTGGTTCATACGCCATTTTTTCCTTCAAGATACTGGAGCCCATGTACACTATTGGTTTGGAATGAGGGTTTTCCGACTCCCCTAGGTGGAATATCCATATCCACCAACCAGTTAAAAGTGCCAGACATTCGCTCTTCGTTCTCTCAATTTTGTAAACAACAGTAGTGTTACGAGAAGACAGTGAGTAAGACTTCTCTGTCAGTAGTTGTGTGCATGTGGTCACTTGAGAGCATTTGGATAGGGAGAGCTGACTCTCCCCACCCTCGACCGTACCAGGGCATTTGGGGACATATATTGAGTACAAATAAAGATCAACGTGAAACTTAACCTTATATTTACTGTTTTGTTTTTCTGTTATTATAATATTTCATCTAGGTATTATTATGCACAGAATATTTTACGAAAAGTCAAAGGACAACGTTTAGTTTATCAGTTCTTAGAGGATTTTCATAAAACTAAACATCCTATTACTACTACTACTACAATATCTTTTACATCATCATTCATGACAACCACAATTACAACAACAACTACATCAATAACAAAAACTATACCAACACCTATAACAATCACAAACAGAACCATAGTAACAGAATTTCCAGAGAACAATTCAAAACCCAATATAATTACACTTCATTAATGTTCTATATTCCGGTTTTATAACTTTATCATATGTATTTCCAAAAAAAGAAAATTGTTTCTCATCAAAACTTTAGGCATTTTATTTAATAACTACCACTACTACTAATCATACTACTACTACCACTACTACTACCACTACTACTACTACTACCACTACTACTACTACCACTACCACTACTACTACCACTACTACTACTACTACCACTACTACCGCTACCACTACTACTACCACTACTACTACTACTACTACTACTACTACCACTACTACCACTACTGCTACTACCACTACTACTACTACTACCACTACTACTACTACCACTACCACTACTACTACCACTACTACTACTACCACTACTACCGCTACCACTACTACTACCACTACTACTACTACTACTACTACTACTACTACCGCTACTACTACTACTACTAATCATACTACTAACTGAAAATATGAATGAAAATAACAATCATAATATCAAAGGTAAAACTGACTATAATTTCTACTAAATGGTCATTTGATCATTAAGTTGTTTATGCTAATATTTCTACCCATTCAATTCCTTTTTTTATTGTAAATGTGCTTATAAATTACATGACAAATACATTGAAAAATAAACGATATTAAATATGTGAATCCATTTCTAAAGTAAATTTATTTAGATTATTAAGTAATATCTTTGATATCCATTAGAACAGGGTTTCATATTCTGGGTACAAGAATAAAAGTGTGACTATAATACGAACACTTCACTTCTACTTGAAATTGATGCTGATGATGATGTCGTTCAGAAGAACAATGAAAGCTCTACGACCAAACCATCCAGTTCAGAGAACAAAACTCCATCAAAACGTGTGACTATACGTTATAACTTGTAAGCGCTGATTAGAGAGCAGTGACTTATCGATCGGATCAATGACACGTAAAACTGTATGAGCAGTCTATAGTCCTGATTGGCCCTGTTTCCTGTCTAGCCCAGCCAGTGAAGTCCAGAACATCAATCTCAGCCTCTGCAATATGAATCATTATATTTCAAACATACTCTTCTTATATACCAATTAAACAGACCAAATCGTACCATAAAATAGAAAATAACACTTGTACAAGATTTGGCCAACAGGAAAATGACACGTGAAATAAATATTGACCAATAGGAAAATGATACCATCTCAAGTCCAAGAATAGCGTTAGACTTAACAGAATAATCTTTCTGGGATATTTTTCTGAATATCCCAACACTATAATTTATGGATGATCTACGAATGATGCCAAAGTAACCATGAGAGTGTCTACCTATTTACTAGGGCTAAATGATGGTGATAAAGTAGTTTGAAGAATAAGGATTATAATTCACAGTTGATGATTAAAATTATGAGTAAGATTTATGATTTTTTTATCACGAACTGACATCAAATAAAATGTTAAGACGCTATTTCATCAAATGAATGAGTGAATTTCGCACTAAAATCTAAGATCTATCATCCTAAATCTGATTGATTCGTTTATAAATTATAGTCATGCTAAAGCATAATTAGCATTATTTGTACCTAACTAAGCAATCAGAAGGAAAATATATTAAGAGTATTAATAAGCTCTTCCAGAGTTACTCCTGGTCCCAAGCCCGGGTAAAGGAGGAGGGTTGGGCATGGATGGGGTTAGCGTCCCCATCCCGTAGAACACTAACTCGCTAAAAAAACACTTACCAGAAAATAAGCTAAGATAAATATAAGGGTTTGTAGTGAATATAAATGTGGTTGGTTAGGGTTTTGGATTGACAAACACACCTTACTGACTAGTTAATTAATAAGTTCCTTTCCAATATTTATTTCCATTCTGAACTTAATGAAAGTAGACTACTTGTAATTGTGTGCAGTAAACTATTGTTTAACTATCATATCAGTTTGAATTATTCAAATGCTTATATTTAAGACTGAGTTTTGGTCAATCTTTGCTGGGTGAGCTACGGAAATGAAGAGATATAACTTGATGGTGTTTGGAATAAGTGAAACCCGTTGGACCAAAACTTGACAGAAAACATGAGATTCGGTAGAGATGCTTCTGTACTTCGATCACAAGGAAGAAAATACTCCATACACACAACGAGTTGATATGATGCTGTTCAGAAAAGCACGGAAGGCACTTATTCCATGGGAATATCACGGATTCAGAACTATCTAAGCATCATTCAAAACAAAGAATCAGGGAATCACAATGAATTTTATCCAGTGTTATGCACCAATCAATGATAACAATGACGACGATAAACATCTGTTTTATAGGAGGTTGGAATCAATCATAGCGTAATGCTCAGGAAAATACTCGACAACTCTGTTTGGAGACCTAAACGCCAAAGTCGGAATGGACAACACCGGATATGAACATGTAGAGTCGATATGGGATGACTGTGAGAAAGGAACGATAATGATGAGAGATTTACAAATCTATGTGCACTCAGTGAAATGGTTAGTGATGGCACAATATCCGTCCACAAATACATTAAAAAGCAACATGTGTCTCACTGGATAACACTACAGAGAATCAGATCGATCATATTTGTATCACTAAAAAATTCAGAAGGACAATCGTGACACTACGGATCATCGTTGAACAACCAGTCGAATGGAACTTGTCGCTATACATTAACTTCTCTGATTATGAGAAAGCATTCGGCAGTGTGGATAGGAGGACTTCACAAAACCTCTTTCAACACCATGGTGTACCGTAGGAAATCATCAACATCATCTGGAATTCATACGATGGGCTACACTGAAAAGTAGTGAATAGAGGACAACTGACAGACAAATTGAAGGTGAGGACCAGAGTCAGACAAGGCTGTCTATTCTCTCCCTTTCTCTTCCTTCTCGTGGTTGATTGGATTGTGAAGACCTCCACATATAAGGAGAAGCACGGACGAAAGTGGGCAGTTTAAATTCAACTAAACGATTCGGACTTCGCAGATGACCTGACTCCTCTATCTCATACACACAAACAAATGCAGATGAAAACAACTAGTTTAGCAACAGCATCTACATCTGTAGGCTTCAACATACACAAGGGAAGAACCATGATCCTCAAATACAACACAGAGAATAACAACGCAATCACACTTGATGGAGAAACGTTGGGAGATGTGGAAACGGTTACGTGCCTGAACATCATCATCGATGAACAAGAAGGATTTGATGCAGTTGTAAATGTAAGCATTGGCAAAACAAGGACAGCATTCCATAGTCGAAGAACATGTGCAGCTCAAAACAACTGTCAACAAATATCGAAGTCAGAATCTTCAATATGAACGTCGAGATAGTTCTACTGTACGAAGCCGAAACTTGGACAACTACTACAGTCATCATACAAAAATGCACAAGTATTTGTAAACAATTGTCTAGACAATATACTCAACGTTCGTTGACTGGATATCATGAACAACAGGTTGTTGTGAGAGAGAACAAACCAGCTTCCAACTGAAACTAGGAAAAGGCGTTGAAGGGAAACGAGAAATTGTAGGGAGAGAGATCACACTTCATCGGGACTTGTAAGCAAACATGTAAAGGATGAAAATCAACTGGAAAGAACTTGAAGGGATTGTTCATGACAGAGTTGCATGTAGAATGCTAGATAGTGGCTTATTGATCTTTCACAAAGGAAATTAAAACAAATTATTCTGAAGGTTTATCTTCCAATACATTAACCAAAAATCTCTTCGTCTAGTCATAATAAACATCATAGTTTTATATATAATCATATTATTTAGCATTAATCTACAATACGTGTACGACTTCCAACTGAAACTAGGAAAAGACGTTGTAAGTGGATAGGATATACATTGAGTAAATCATCAAATTGCATCACGAGGTAAGTACTAAATTGAAATTGTGGAGGGAAACGTGAAAGAGGAAAACAATATAGCACAGTGAGCTGGTAATCGGAAGCAGATTTGAGAAGGTTGAATAGCAACTGGAAAAAACTGGAAAGGATTATCGATGACAGAATGGATGTAGAATGCTGGTGAGTGGCTCATGGTCCTGCGCGAGAGTCACTAGGCGTAAGTAATTAAGTTTGCTGGGATATATGCATTCTGCACCGATTGTTTCGATATAGTCCTTCTATCATAAGTTTTATATTTAATAGGAGGATTTTGGCTAACAGTGGAATTCAACTACGTACCATTCTTCTTATTTTCGACTCATCAGTCACACTAAATGTGTTGACGTTTACATAATCATTGAAGTATATCTTCCTTTTTGTGTTACTTATTTCATATAGTAATTCGACTGTAGTTATTACTAATATGGTTTTCTTATCTTCTAGGGAAGTGTCTCAGTTATAGTTATTTTGAAGTATTAAGTTCAATCTCTGATTTCATTTCATTTTCTAAAACGATGGATATTCGTTTCAACGTGAGCTATGCAATTCCAACTTTTGGTTCATACACTAGTTAGATCATTAGTTTAATAAACAAAATAGTTGTTAGTGTTATTTCATGGATTTCTCATATTCTTTTAGTATCCATCTGTTTAAGTATACAATGTGACATTATACTAAATAATCTAATAACTTGTGGTAGTGTCGAGTTGCAGTTGACTATGATCACCACTACAGATCGATTAGATGCCAATTACAAGGTTAAATCACTCCGTAGGGTAAATATTACAAGGACAGTTGTAGTTTGTAGTTAGGATATATTGCTTGATGATCTTTGTGGTAACGAAATAATACCGAGATCGTGACAACGTTTAAAGGTGAGACTACCATACGTACTTGAGTCATTTCAAGGTCAAAAAACAACGGATAAAATGTATTTTCGGTACAATTAATCAAAAAGGTATAGTCAAACAATTACTGATACAGTTGGTTATAATTATGCTTCCATTACACCAATCGTGTTCTGTTCATAAAATTAGATCTCTACAAACTAAACATAGGATTTACAAATAACAATCTTCACTTCAGTTAAAGTTGTTGCTTGTTTATATTCATTAGTAAACACTATCAGTACCTTAGATATTCAGTAACACCTACTCATGATCAAGTCATACTGTGATGTGTGCTACTTATATTGACATAAGTAGTATATGATGTTAGTCGTGAACAGAAGGTCTGGCAGCAAAGAGACAAGGGGATCGAACAGTAAAGAATGGAAACAGAATACGATTTGTATGAAGATGCAAGAACAATGAAGTCTGAGTCATTTTGAGACAATTGGTGGACATTTTGAAAATTAAGCATTTACTTTATGATTGTTAGATTTTATTAACAAGTCCTGTAATTTTGTGTTAAATACATTCGATTGTCCCCACTGGTGTTCTTGTTCACTACAATACTATTTAATGATAAGCTATTTAATTTGAAGTTATATCTACACAGTAAGAGGGATACAAATGACATTATCACATATTCATATATTCTATAACGATATGCTGCTAACCCCAAAATATAACAGTGAATCAAAAGTCTGATAAATTTCCGCAAAAAAGAGAGTTTGTGTTGAAGATGAATTAAATGACTTAAAACGAAGACTATACTGATCAACCCTAATGAAATAATATCCTACGTTGAAATACTGTTATATTTGGTATTCATGACGCATTTTAAGAAAGTATGCTGTGACTGAACGTAGTTTGAGGCAATAGTCAGTGGTGTAAATTTTCATTCGATTAACTTCGTTAC